GATTGCCAGGCTCTCTGAGAGGGGTGGAGGAATAGAACTCAGGTCGACCATGTTGGCTGCATGCAAGGCGAACACCCTCCCTGCTGTGCTATCACTCCAGTCCAAATCCATAAGGTACATGGGAGAAAATGTAGGCAAAACACTCCATGACACTGAAGCTAAAGGTGTTTTCAAAAATGAAACACTATTCACCAAGCTAGTGGAACCCATCACCATTTTAAAAGAGAAATTTCTAGCTGCATGTTATGCTTTTGGCTCCATTAAAGCCATGGAATACACTGCCTCCCCGACTCTTTTTCAGAATTGCTTTGGTTACGAGGAGACCATGATGGGTCCTCACAATTTTAATAGTCTTTGTTCTACGTCTTTGAAGAATGCCATTGGAATGTTGATGGTGATTGCACTGGATCTCTATAATGCTTTGAGTTGGGTGTTCATTTCAGCAATATCAATTCTTCCAATATGTGAACATGGAATATATATTGGGAGAGGGAATTGGGGCCATACTTGGTTGTGTTCAGGGCTTATGTCTCGCTTTGATCTCGGTAATCATTCCTACTGATGCTTAAAGGTCTGTGTGGACCCAGAAATAAAACAGGTCAGCCTTCTACAGGTCAAGTGCCTCAACTCCTGTGCTATCTGTCCCAAAGATAAACTATTTTTCCTGTTTCATTTTACCTTCTATTTATTTTAGTAGAAGTAAAACAAAAGTAAGTACCTAGGAATTTAAATTTCACAACATTTGACAAAGGATGTGAAATACTTATACATCAAACACTTGTCCTTCTGTTAATATTTTAATATCCTGGTTTTGGGTAGCTTCCTCACATACATGCACTAAGCATCATTTTGAAGAATATTTAAAGATCTCTACATGTCTTCAGGGCTCTCATCTATTTCACTACCTTCATTTGTAACCTAATCCAGCCTTTCTCAACTGGAGGCCATACAGTGAAAATACTTTAAATGAGGGGAGCACAGGAAAGAAAAATGGTTGGTTTCACAGTTGGAAAAGGGTGAGAAACACTGCTCTACATTGTGAATGCTAAATCCTATGGTCTCCCTGGACCTCAGATCCAACTCTTCTAATCAGTGTGTTGAGGTCCAGCTGGGTTTCTCATTGAGCCTTAACCTGTAAACTCATTCCTAGTAGAAAACCAGGCAATATTAGCACTTGTTTTGTTTGTTTCACAGTGATCATTATTTTTCATTTCCTGATAGCTCTAGTCGTGAAAATATTTTTCATATTTTTCTTTGGATTTTTAGGGTCAGGGTACTTCAATTAAGAGAATAAAACTGGTACTTGTTGCTTCTCATTGGCTGCAAGCTTAAGAATTATATTTTTTAATAAAACAACTTTTCTTTACAAATATCTTACCACGCAATTTATCTTTTTAAGGCATACGAATCAATGATTATAGGAGTATTCACAGATGTATGACCACTACTACCATCAATTTTAGAACATTTTATAAGATGAAGAGATCATAAAAAAAAGCTTGTCTTATTTAGAGCTGACCTGGTTTGATCCTGGTTCCACATAAAATGCCCTGAGCACCGACAGGAGTGATCCTTGAATAGAGACCCAGGAGTAAGCCCTAAACACTGTGGTGTGTAGTCCTAAAACAGTATCTTAGGACATTTTCATCACCCATCATCCATTACCATCTACTCAGTGTTTTCCCCTTCTCATCTTTCCTATTCCTAGGCAACCATTTTCTATACAATATGTGGTCCTATATGAGTGATTTTTTTACATAGTATATTTTCAAGATTTATCTGTGTGGTACCATTTAAGGTCTTTATTATTTTTGTTGATGAATGAATCACAAGTATTAATTATCAATAGATGAAAATCTGGGTTGTTTCTACCTTTTGGTTATTATGTATAATACTACTATTAGTATTCATGTGAAATTTATATTTGGTTACATTCTTTAATTTCTTATGTAGATACTTAGAAGTGGTCATTAAGTAACTCTATGTTAATGCTCTTAGACTGTGGTACTTAAATTTAATCCTCAAAATTCTGTAAGGACAAGATTATAATATTCATTATATCAAGGAGTCATGGGAATTCTTCCATAATACTTTGGGTGTGCCCAAAATCACACTGAAGAAAGTAATAGCATTCAAAACTATTTTTTCTTGAGAAATATTCATTTGCATATAAAGGAGATTGATACAATTGTTTTGGAAAGAAATTTACTGATATATATGCAAATTTGTATTGTATTTCAGAGGTCTCTAACACATTATATTTTGCAAACAATTGGATATAGCTCTGGAGGACTAACATCTATTTAAATACCTAGCAAATGTCAATATTCATAGCTGTTCCATGGTAGCCTTGAAGCACTGCACTTCAGGCCTAAGGCTTAAGTTCCAGGTCCCCATGGAAAGGGATATGCCATGTTCCTGAAAAAGGCAATCTGATGCAGGGATCTGTTTTCTGAGTTTATGGAGTTGCTGCTTTGATATCTGAGTGGGAAACGTCCTCCAGACCGTACAGTGATGCTTGTTACCTGTGGCTGTCGATGGGCTTGCACTGTGTGACAGAGAGTCACTTCTAACCCTAACCAAGTTAAAATGGAAGGAAGGAAGCCTCTCTTCTTGAAATACATAGATAAACACACCTAAAACATTTCTTATTTTTCTCTAACTGCAAACTTAAATTCAAAGCTGTATAGACATTATGGAGTTAAGGAGCTTGTCTTGCATGCAGCCAACCCGGTTTCTATCTTGGCACCTATATGGTCTCCCTAGCATCACAAGGAGCCATCCCTAAATACAGAGTCAGGGAAAAACCCCGAGAACCACTGGGTATGGTTAAAAACTAAACAAAGTTTAATTAAAGAAAATGCAGGTTCCATTTGGCTGAGAGCCCCCAGACCTCCTGAACACTGCTTGGGAAGCCTCACAATTCCCTCGAAAATACTGATGAAAGTTGTTGGGATCTTAAAATTGAATTCAGTAAAAACAAAACAAGAGAAGTTACATTCCTTAATGAAGTTAAATCCCATCAGTTAGAGTTCAATCCTGATGATGGATTGTGGGAAATGTTATTTTCAGTACACTGAAATAAAGCATTAAAAATGTAGAGAAAATAGAGATCAAATAAATTAAATTTAAAATTTTGATTAAAAGTTCAATTAAAGGGAAGAAGGTATGTAAATCAGAATGTAGAGTTTAGTTCTGTGGTTAAGGACATAACTGGACTTTCAGTGGTGAGCTTCATGTCCACATGTTTTCAATGATACACACCTGAAACTGACATAATGTATGACATATGGTACTTATTAAACAATACTTTTTATAAAACAGCAATTTGTGTAGAAGGTCATTCAATTTTATTCTCACTTTTGGTAAAAAACCTTAAAGTTCATTTCTTTTTTAGCATTTCTTTATGAGCCACCAATGACAAGCTTGAAATGTGATGAATACCAATGTAAAAGAATAAGTAGCTCTGTAGCACTGTCCGCCTGTTGTTCATTGATTTGCTTGAGCGGGCATCGGTAATGTCTCCATTGTGGGACTTGTTACTGCTTTTGGAATATGTCACGAGTAGCTTGCCAGGCTTTGCCGGGCAGGCAGAATACTCTCGGTAGCATGCCAGACTCTCTGAGAGGGGGCGGAGAAATCAAACCTGGGTCAGCCGCGTGCAAGGCAAATGCCTTACCAGCTCTGCTATCGCTCCAGCCCAAAAACACAAATAATATTTTCAATTATCAATTCACTTTTACAGAAAAAATATTCAATATGTCAAATATCAGTAATACAGTGAGTTTAAAATAAACTAAAAATAAACTAAAACATAAAATGAAGGTCCCATAAAAAACTTAAAAGTTTTATAAAACTACAATCTAGCTTCTCACCAATAAATTGAACTTTAGTTAACCCCCACACTCCTAAAATCATACTAAAACACGAATAAACTATGCAATAAGTAACTATTTATTTGAATTAAAAGCTTAAAGTACACCTAAAATTCTGGCAATGCAAACTTTTAACAAAAATCACAAAAAAAGTGCAAAATACAGGTGAAAAGAACAGAAAAATGCTAATAATCAGGTTAAATATCAGATAATTTAAAGAAAACGAAATACCCGCAATCACTACATAAAATACACGAGATACTTACACACAACTCTCTGCAAAACAGTCTTTGATATTGATTTTAAAGTCATTTGTACAGTTAAATATTGAATTGGAAATGAGAACTATACAGGAAGCTTCTTTTCTAAGGCACTTACTTGTACTATAGAACATTTCTCTTCTCGGCATTTAAAAAGATATCCTCTATTTATTATCAATAAAGAAAAGTTAAAGGTATTACTGTACCAGGAAGGCAAATAAAAGGTGAAAAGAAAGTTTTCGTTTATAAAGTGCTTTCTATTTAGTTAAGCTTTGCTTTGTATGGTGAATGGGCTACTAGGAAAATGCCTCCTGGCAGATAGGTGATCTTGAATCAAACATCTTTACAAACCAAAGATTGATGAAATCACTCAACCACTTTAATTACTGGGGTAGCATCATGTCACTGACCAATCCTATCTTTCCAGAATACCCAGAATATCATCCCTGACACTGAAAAAAAATATAAGATTGATAATGCTAAACATTCACAAAAAATGGTATTCGACATAATTGACAACATATGTGCTTTGAAAAGAGTCTATGTAGTAAGAAATAAGTGCCAAGAATCAAAATTTATCAAAAATATTGGATAATAATGAATTTTAAACTCAGAAGTTGTTTCAAGATTGGGTGGGTGCATCTTCATGTAACATTAACAAGGAAAATGGACAATGGACTTTGCTTTACTAAATCCATGTACTCACAAACTGATGTAAGGTTGTTAGATGTGCCAGCATGAGATTTTTGCTCATAGTCTTTAAGTTCAGTGATGATAAAGAAAATAGATGAATTTAGAAGCAAAAACAAACAGCTATTTAAGTCTAGTTAACAGGAGTCTTGGGACTCATATTTTGAACAGCCATCTACGGGGCAACTTCAATGACACGGGGTTTGTCTATGACTCGGGCTGTACGGTTGCCCTTCTCCACGATGCCGATAATCCATGCTTGTTGACCTTCACCATATTTGGGCGACTTGATCTCTGCACAGAACTGAGCTGCTTGCTCACGTGGAAAACAGATTAGAAGGCCTCCTGAGGTTTCCGGATATGTACCATGCATGAGACTGAAGAGGTTTCCACAAGCTTTGCTCACTGCCACCATCTTGGCCAGGATTGGGAGGTTGTGGATGACAAAGGACACCTCGTTCTTCTGCTGCTTGGCCAAGTTCTGTGCATGGCCAAGGATTCCAAAGCCTGTGACATCGGTGGCAGCATGGGCATTGAACATGTGCATGAGCTCAGCAGCTGACCGGTTGAGCCTGGCCATGTTCATCACTGCTTCTTGGTAAGCCAACTCCACATCTTCTTGGGTAACCACTTGTTTAATTTTATTCCATTTCTCAGGATTGTCCATCCAGTGGTGTGCCATTATGGACACTTGTGTCCCCAGGGGCTTCGTCAGAACGAGCACATCCCCAGGCACAGCTCCATGTGGCAAGATGAACTCATTCAGCTGACAGACAGATGTAGCTACTCCTCCCAAGATGATCCATGGATTCATTACTGTGTGGCCTCCAGTGACAGATGTTTCTGCCTCTTGTGCCTCATCTTTAAAACCCTGTATAATTAGGGGAATCACAGTATCTCTTTCCTTCTCAGTCATTTTATTGCTGATTCCAAGGAGCATCAGCATATTATCACATTTAGTGATCCCCATTGCGTAGAGGTTGCTGAGGACATTGGCACATGCTATTTTGCCCATCATGTATGGGTCATTGACGATTGGGTAGATGTAATCAGTGGTTTGTGCCAAGGAAAGGCCACCATGTCTCAGGGGGATGACACACGTATCCATCCCAATGCCAAGCTTTGGCATAATGGTTCCCAGAAACGGACCTGCTTCTGGACCTTCCTGTAAGGATTCCAGCAACTTCTGCAGAACATCTTGGGGTACTTTGCAACCCGTCACTTTGAGTTCAGTGAATCTGGTTAGCCGAAAGTCCTTGTCCAGTTCATAACTTTCTGGGTTAAAGAGCTTCGGTGTAGACATAGTTCTTAGGCACACACTACCTCTGCTCTTTCACGGACTGAAACTTCTTCACAGCTCCACGGATTAGCTTTGTTTTGTCGCTCGCTTGCTCGCTTACTCGCTTGCTCGCTTACTCGCTTGCTCGCTGTCTCGCCGCCTCGAACGAAATGAAAACGAAACTTGGACCACTCCCACAATGCAATGGGTACGAGGTGCCCTTAAACAATGCCTAAATAAAAATTGTATTCACACTGGGCACAGCAGCAGTGGAGAGGAGGGCATTTCAAAGGGCAGCTCAAAGAGAAGAGGACCCCTGGCCCTTCCTGTGCCCCGCAAGCTTTGCTTGACTTCGCGAGATCAGGGCTGCCATACTCCTCACCTGTACCCAACCCCAGCTGCTTATGGGAACGAGGTCAAGTTTTCAGGGCTTTCCTAATACCCAACGGTCGTCTAGATCAGAAGTTTGACATCTGCAGTGTTTTTCCAACCTAAATACTCTGACATAAAAAAAATGGCTGGAGCGAGAGTAGTGTGAGTAGGGAATTTGCCTCCAAGGTAGCTAATCGGACTGACTTGTTTTCAACCAAACCTTAAAACAAAGTGCTCAGTAGACTGAATAGGATTACATATACAGTAGTGATCCCATTTGTTAGGAAAACAATATTCTGTATTGTACACAGAAAATTATTGGAGGGTGACTGAAAAATGCTCAGTGGTAGAACACCTCCTTGTAAGCATGAGGCCACGAGTTTGATTCCCAAAACTGCCCCACAGACCATGTTTTAGTTAGTGGCACTGTCGTTTGAGATCCCCAGTGCCACATCAACATATGTGATCTCTAGTTCACCATAACTAAGTGTGTGTGAGCACTTCAGCCAAGTTTGTGTGATCCCAGCAACCACTTATAGCAAGTGCATGACCTCTAGAGAGCGCAACTAAGTGAAAAAGTACCACAACTAGTTGTGTGTGACTCCCACAGAAACAATAATAACTACAAAACAACAATAGGAAAGGAAGTCACTAGGACACAAGAATAATATAATATGAGAAATGGGAACAAAATATTTTTTATTTTTATTCAATAAAAATATTTTTATTTTTTATTAAAATATTTTTATTTTTATTCAATAAAATTTTTATTGAATCACCCTGAGAAAGCTACAAGCTTTCATGTTTGGGCTACAATCACACAATGATCAAATTCCTATCCCTCTAACAGTGCACACTCCCAACCACCAATCTCCCCAGTATATTCCCCTCCCCAACCTCCCCCTGCCTCCATGGAAGACAATATTCCCCATACTCTCTACCTTTTTTGTGTATGTGATATTTAAACTTTTGTCCATGAGTTTGTATGATATCTATAAATTTAAAAATCATTTAACAATATCAGGTATTCAAGGGATCAGAGAGATAGTACAGACAATGGAGTACTTGCCTCGCAAGTGGTTGACCTAGGTTTGATCCTGGCAACAAAAATGGTCTCCCAAACCCTGCCAGAAGTGATCCCTTATCAAAGAGCCAGGAATAAGCCCTGAGCACAGCTGGTTATGATTAAAAATTCCCACATACACAATACCAGGTATTCTTATTCCAAATAAAGTGCTCTTTTCTATGCATCATAAATATAGTCCTTACCCCACCTTTTTAAAAATTTATCAAAGTCCAACAAGCTGCCTTACATTTAGTAAGCACTGAAACAATTGTCAAGAAGAGCTCAGAAAGAGAAAAGATTTGTTCATTTGAGAGAAATCCTTTAAGTATCACAAAGCAGGTTGTAAAACTGGTTGAGAAAGATCTGGGAGGTAAAACCTTATTCAGCTGTGATAAAAATTGATAAGAGAAGCATAAGTGTTAACTTGGAAGTAAACTATCTAGTTGTCAAAGTAACATCTTTGGGATTCTAAGGAACATTTTACTGGAGAGGGATTTCTGCTTTAGGCACTACTGCCTCAATCATATCTATTTTATTTTAGCTTTTATCATCAGGTAAGGAGTAATTCTTGGACTCAGTGTTATAACCACATCAACAGGCAATTAGAAAAATAACAGTGGAAAGGCAGTAACAGAAAAGGGACTTTCCTGTGGATAGGGCCCAACCTAAAGAGTGAATATGATCAATATTAAAGTCATAGTGTTCAAGGAGATGGGACTAATTTTGTTATTGTTTTCACTATGCTGTACTTGTAGTTTCTGCTGCTGCTGTTTTCGAAATTTTTTATTAAAGCACCATGAATTGTGAAGTTATTCATAGTTTGGTTTTTGATATGCAATGTTCCATCACCAATCCCTCCTCCATTCTGAAGTTAGTGATGGTTCCATCACCAACTTCCTTCCATCAGTGTTCCCAGGTTTCCTCTCCTGTTTTTCATCCCACAGCCCCAACCTGGCATCTTGACAGGCATGTTTTAAGTTTGGTTATTAAAGTTTGGGTCTAGAAATTTCAGTATTGTTGACTTATATATTGATAGTAAGGTTTGTATATTTAGCTATATCACTACTTTAACACCACTGGTATACCTGAATTTCCTTATTGTCATTTTGAGAGAGTCACTTTAGACCCTGGGGACCAATAAAAATAATATTTGAATAGTAGTGATTATTGCAAAAACTTGGGTGAAAGGTGCTGGATTCCAAGGGTTGATCTAATTTGAAAATCATTTGAACATCATGACTTGGTCCAGTTTCCCTCTTAATAAATGGAGATAGAGGAGGATAGGTCTAAGTTGATTGGTGGTGGTGTGAGTGTAGAGTTTAAATATGCAAATGGATTGCTTCATTTAACATTATATTTTCCAGTTCCATCAATGTTGCAGCAAATTGCATGATTTCATCGTTCTTTACAGCTGCATCTTCATGATCCACTAATCTGATGTTGGACATTTAAATGATTTCAAATATTAGCCATTGTACTGAGTTCTGCAATAATGATAGCCAGAATATGGACAAACACAGGATGATATCGCTTATATGTGGTATTTAAAGTAACTGGATGAGAAAATGTAGTGGTTTAAGGTAGTGGGGATGCCTAGGCCTTAGAGAAGTGATGGAAAGAAATAAAGTGAAGGGAAAGAGGAGAAGAGATAGATGAGAAGCAATGGGGTAGCAGTAAAAAAAACTTAGTTAAATCAGCGATGTTAAGGAATGATTGACCTAAATATCCAAGCCAGTCAGCAACACTGAATTCATGTGACTCAAACTTTAGTAACCAAATTTAAAAGGTTCCTGTCAAAACAATAGGCTGGGGTTGGGATGGGTGGGTAGGAAGGGAAATATGGAAACACTAGTAGAGGGACGTTGACACTGGTTGTAGGTGAGTGATGGAATATTGTATATCAAAAGCCCAATTATGAATAACTTTGCAATTCATGATGCTTCAATAAAATTGGGGGAACAAGAAACATGAAATTTAAAAATTTTATAAAACCAATTTGAGTTTCTATCTTGTGAGACCACTTGGCTTATAATAATCATATATGATTTTTTGAATTTCTTACATTAAAGAAGGCTTTATGTACTTGAGATTTCCGGTTTTACCCTTGCTGGATACTTAAGAAATACTAGTGTTTGTAAGATAGTAAGGTGAATAATTGGCATGTTTGCAGGTTGTTAGAACAAATATTGTGATGCAAATTTAAAATAAGATAATGTAGTTGTTAATTTAAAATATTATTTGTAATGACACATTTCATAGTCATGAAGGATAAGAATAAAGTCCTTCATTTAGAGTGAAAAAACATGTTAACTGCAACAGAAGCTATTAGTAACTCAGTGAGACTTATAATCTCTTTTTTTTGTGGCTCTCTCTTCAATGGCTAGAATAATTCCTGATACAGTTATCTATTTCATAAATGTTCATCAAAAATGAAACCCATTTTTCACATTAAGGCTTTTGTAAAACATACCAGATCATGTCCTTAGGGCAGTAGAAAAATTCTAAACTTCAGCCACAAGGCTTTCAGGAACAACATAAGGACAAATATAAAGGCTAATGAGTTTCACTTCATACAAATGTGTTTCTCTGTAGTAGACAAAAGCTAGACTTAAAAAGTCTCTTAATCAGATCTCCGCTAAAAGATTACTTCCTTATAAAGACCTTCTGTGATCACACACTGGAGTGTCTCTGGAACCAAATCATTCTGTATTCCATCATTTCTGTCTTTTCTTCACTATCTAAGGATATGTGAATTATTTGTGTATTAGTTTCATGTCTGTGTCCCTTCTGCTGGAAAACATTGGGTTTTCCTTGATCCTCTCTCAGGTAGCTTAGGTTTATTGAGTTACTTCCACAGCAGTGCCCCTGAGGCACACCCAATTCCATGAAACACTAATATTTTATATTGCTTTTCTCTTTCCTTTCTGTGACTTGCATGGTTTAGCAATTTACTTTTTGTATAGACACAGGAAAACAGTTGATGCTATGCTTTGTAAGATGGGAATTAATTGACTCCAAATAATATTTACTCCTGGGAATCCATCATATTCACCGGACGTAAGCCTCAGATGCCCTTATTTCATAACACCCCCAAAAGTAGGGTTGCAATGAAGGGACTGGATGGACCCAGGGCAAGTTGTAAGCTACCTGGGGCAAGCTAAGCACCATAAGTGTAATAAGTAAAGAGCATGGTCATGGAACAAACTGTCATGACCCAAAAAGAAATAACTGAATAAGGACCCTACTGGGGTTAGGAAAGAATAACCTGGCCTGAGGACTGTAGTTTTGCATATATAGCGAGATGTCCCCAGGAAGAGCCAACCTCTAAGCTTAATAAATCACTTATTGTGTTCATGCAAAATGACTAGAAATATTATAAGAAGCAAATTTAATATGATTGGTTAAGTGTATTACTAGCTGAGTAAAGGAGAAAGCAATACATCCTAGATGGAATCCTGCCCTTGAGCTAGGATCTCCTAGTAATCTAGAGTTCTGAAACCTCAGAAGAGATCTTGTCCCTGAGTTAATCTCCTAGAACTTCCCCTGAAGGAGTGGTTTTAAATCCGTTTGTTGTTATGATAATGTT